AACCGCGGCTAAAGTTAGCCGCAGTACCTAGGAGAGGGATTTTGAGATCACGTGGCTGACTCGGTAGGGATGCGGGGAAACATGGCGGTGCCCCAGTGAGTGAACGCCGCTCGCTTTGGAACTAATATGTCGTTGTGGTTGCAATATCGGGCGCGTTAGTCAGCAACGAATGGTGCAGGAGGCTTACGCTTTGTTTTACCTCACATAAACTGCAAAGCACGGGCGTTGACATCGCCGCATTTTTTAGATAGACTTTCAATTCTGGGCATTCCTAGGCCTAAATGAACGCGATAATGGTCGGCATAGCAACGTCTTTGGAAAGCGGATTGTTGGTAGCACACAAAAGGAGACGGCGTCCCAACAGACCTTTTTTCTCAATTATCCAACCACCGGGGTGCATGCTACGACTGTAGTTGCAGGCGTCGCACGTGCTGGCGTCTGCAGTAGTAACCGTTCTAAAGCAAAAAGCATAAAACAAATTTTGCCTTGCACGCGCGTTCGTTAAAGCCTTATTATGATTTTTTACTTCAAATCTTTTATAAGAGGAAGGCCAGCGCGCGTGAACCGTAGAATTACACTTCCAGCGTTCTCCTCGCGATGCTCAAATAATTTAGAAAAAAGTCTGTCGGGACGCTGTCTCCTTTTGTGTGCTATCAACAATCCGCTTTCCAAAGACGTTGCTATGCCTACAATTATCGCGTTCATTTAGGCCTAGGAATGCCCAGAATCGAAAGTCTATCTAAAAAATCCGGCGATGTCATTGCCCATGCTTTGCGGTTTAAGTGAGGTAAGGTAAAGCGAAAGCCTTCTACTTTATTCGTTGCTGACTAATGCGCCCGGTATTGCATCTACAACGACATATTAGTTCCAAAGCGAGCGGCGCTCACTCACTGGGGCACCGCCATGTTTCCCCGCATCCCTACCGAGCCAGTCACGTGATCTCAAATTCCCTCTCCTAGGTACTGCGGCTAACTTTAGCCGCGGTTAGCGCTTTGAGCAAACGGGCCCAGGACACTCGTGTACAGCTGGGTTATTCTGGGCGAGACTAAGGCAACGTTAGGCTCAATTTAATCAGCGCGAGCTGTGGCTATAATGAACGAAATGTTCTATATTTCGTTCACCTTTAAGTTGAGATTAGAAGCTCCGCTTTCAGCGTGAGCCCGCTGGCTTTCGCAGTGCTTCGGTTGCGCGTGACTGCGCTATCACACTTGCTTTAGCCAGGGTAGAAAGCTCGCGTTGAAGGCGGAGCTTCTAGGGTGTTATGTTGCGCTTTTTGGACTCCCAGGAGACTAGGGAGAGGGAAGTGACGTCAAAGACACAGCAAACGCAGATTGTATGTTGATTTCGTTTTCTTCTGTCAACATCCAATCTGCGTTTGCTGTGCCGTTGATGTCACTTCCCTCTCCCTAGTCTCCTGGGAGTCCAAAAAGCGCAACATAGCCCCCCTAGTCTCAGCTTCGGGGTGAACGGAGTATAGGTTGTAGTCAGCAGGTGCCATTAGTTTGAGCTTAGTGTCAGACTGTCAGACACAAAACACAATTGTGAAGCGGTGGAGAAAATATGGTTTACGTTTTTTTCTGACGCACACTCAACCGTAGCACACATGGCTACATACTCTTATAGCCCTTTCATGTTTTAAACGTAGCGACGCACGAGGCACGTGCAACGTGCCGCCCTTGGGAAGATCATGGTGGCACAGCGCAGCACTGAGGTAGATTTCAGACGCCATGTTCTTCCCAGAAGCAGCGCGCGCCAAGTGTTTTGAGCATTTCCATACCAATGAATAGCGCCACTTTTCCCAGCATAAAAAAAGCTTTACATACTCCGTTTCGCACATTATATGCAACTCTGTCAAAGCTGCTGGCGCGAGTATGAAGCTTGATCTCGTTGATAATTTACATGCGTTCTCAAGCAAACGAAAACATAGGTGAAACCACGCGCTCGCGCCAGTAACTTTTACAGTGTTGTATATGAAGTATTGTATATTGAAGCGTTGTATATTAGCACTCCGACTGGTACCCCATGTCAAGGCCGCGTGAACGTGGCCTTGACAGGCTTGCGATGGCATGTGCTCGCCCACGCGTGCAGGGACGTTGGCGGCGGCCATATTCCCTGCTTGCATTCGTGTCTATAGACCATTGCAGAAAACGGCTTCCATGGCCGGTGCCAGCTTCAGCGTTCATGCGTAGGTTGCTTCTCGAAGCATAATCGGAAGTGACAAACATGCGTGCGCTGGGCTGTGGAGATCGCACTCAGGGAAGTGAAGTTACATTAGACTGGTGTATATTAAGATACTTGAAAATATGCCACTAGCTGCCATTATTGTGTGCATTGCCATTGAGCGCTAATAATGAATTTATTATGGGTTGATTTTGCAGCATCAAGGCTGAAGTCTGCAGCAATGTATAGCGCGAGCTAACGACGAGATTTTGCAGTACTTTTGTAACGGGAATTTCACGAATTCCGGAATTCAGTGCCATCTGGTAACTCAAATGGCAGTTTAACTTTTACTGTACTAATGGTGGCAATAAACCTGTGGTTTGCAGTATTTTATGGGGCACCGTCACTTTCGCAAGTCAACGGTAAACGAGAATGTGCGCTTCGCTGTCTTTCAGTGTCGATGGCGAAAAAGATGCAACCAGTCAGAACGAAGCGCCAACCCACATAGATGCTTTGAAGTTCTATACGTCAAGGGGCTTTGAAGCCAATTCTGGGCTACTAACAGATTGAATGGGCCAGAGTTATAGAAATGAAGGCTTACGCAGCTCCTGGATCCAATTCCCGCTTCACGTCGCGCGAGCCTCTAGAGTGTATAAGCCTCGAATCATCTGCTTAGGAGCATCTACAACTTCTTCCTTCTTCAGTAAATAGAAGGCAGCCATTAGTATAGCATATATGCCCGTTTTCAGATGATGATACTGATCAAAGCGCCCAGACAGAATTCAGGAAAGGGTCTATTGCCGCTCTTAGCAGCATATAGACGCTTTACACACGCGCCAGATTACAGCCACCATTGCTGACCTTCTCTTGTTTTACAGAGATACTGAGCCACTGAGACGGGTGTTGACGAGCCTCCAGAAAGGCCAATGCTGGAAAGAAGGACACAATAAATTTTAAGATGGCAATAACATGGCTTGCTACGGTAATGACGAATTGAATAAAATGGAATAAGAGGAAACAAAAACTGAAGGTCAGTTATGGCGGCGCCCATGCACAGCTGCTGCAAAGCGTCTATAACTTTGAGTTCGTTTTGAGCATGCGCTGTGAGCGAAGCTGGCATGTGCGGTGCCAGCATCGTTTAGGGGTTAGGGTAAGGATTTCGAGCATTTGGAGTCCATTTGACTCGCACATAAACTGAAACAAACTATAGTAATCGAATTGTTGTGTTCACTGAAAGCTCTCACTAGTGACCAACTTGGGTAGTGACGATATATGAATAGCTCTTCTTTAGCAAAGGCTAGCCCAAACCTAAAGCTGCGTTCACACTCGCGTTCGAATCAAACCGCGAAGCGGATACGCTCGTTTTCATCATCAACTACGCTTGAATTTGTATTGCATACTTAAACTGCGTTCGCAACCGCTTTGCGTACACGGTTGAGTGGCAAATGTGAATGCGGTGTGTGAGTCATCACCGTAATGATATTAATTGAAACTGGAGAGTAAAAATAATTTATACTCTACACCATAAAAAAAAATTAAAGTAATGCTTTATATTGAGTGCATTCTTTATGACTGAAGCTTTCGACTTCGAAGGAGTTTCTTCTCGGAGACTCGTGTAACGTAATTCATTGCCTTTCGTGCATTTTGCAACGCGAACGAGGATCATGAGCACAAACCCACCATCGACTGACGCGTCGACATAGAAGAAATGAAAGTATATGCAAGGGGGATTGGTCAGATTATCGAACATTCTGAAGCCTGACACTGGGGCACAAAAGGTAGAAAAAACACAAAACAAGCGTCGCGCGTTTGTGTTTGTCCTCCTTCTGTACCCAAGTCTCGAACTGAATGTGCCAGATCTCCACCTCCGCCCGAGTTTGCGAATGATCATAAATATGCAGCCGGGTGATGGCGGGAGCAGGGTCGTCTGCGCTGCATTCTACACCCTTTCAAACCGAAGGAGGGGAAAGGCGAATGAAAAGACGCGGAGATGTTATCCGGAAAATCTCTTCGAGAGGCCCCAAACGATGCCAAGGTGAAATTGTGCACGTAGCGAGTATACTTCGAACTCGTTATCGTTCAAACTGCAACACACACACATATATATATATATTTTTTTTTACAATTAGGAGAGTTTTTTTAGCGTGAGAGCGACTAATCTAAATTTCTTAATGCTATCGCCTTTTCATAACTTGTGAATTACATACATAAAAACACGTTGCTAGCGGGATCGACCGTTGGTGCAGGTAACTCTGCTTTTCTTGAAGCGTCTAGATGCAGTATACCTCAGAAAGATCACGGTGCAATGCAAATTTCTTTGCCATATGGTATAGAACGCACATTATGCAAACACTTCAGGAAGGTGAAAAACACTCTGATTTCTGACCGCGGTCAGCTGTTGATGACAACTACAGCCACTGACAGCTCAAGAAACGCAGCGAGTTTTGATCACCTCATTATCTCTCCGCAGTGAATGAAATTGTGGCATTCTCTTATGACAACGCCCGAAAACGAATCATGAAGAGAGAAGTGTTGGCATAATGATGCGTATCTTGTCCTTCTAAAGCTGACAGTAAATTTGTGTAAGATACATTTTGGAAGAAGTAAAGAGATAGTACGATTAATTATATGTACCGTCAGTGACCTGTACTTCACACTATCTTACCCGAAACACGGATACCACAAGAATCACTTGCAAATACTCGTAATTCAAATTCAAGAATGGTTTTCTTCTAAAGTTATTTAAGCAATATTTGTTTCTGTTAATACATTTGAGCGTCGGGCTGGATGTCTAAACGAATGGGGCATGCGATAAGAGAGTGTAAACGTTCAATTCTTACCCGATCGACGAGGTCTTCAAGCGATTTGGAAACCTTGATGGACACCGTCCGATCGTCGATGTCCTCATGCCGAAAGTAGTTGATATCGCTCAAACTGTTATCCATCGCCTCTACCCGCAGCTCTCGTCGTGGATGCACTTCTACCCGGAACACTTCTTGTCCTGCATAAAAAGAAGAGCGCGACCGGATGTTACTATTCCCTTCCCTATTAAACGACTGAGAAAAGGACATTTATTAGAAATGCCGAGTGTTTTATGGCTAGACATTTCTATAGATGAAACACATTGTTTACAAACAGGTACGGGCTTGCCAACACCTAAGTGTGAGCGGTGCGCGCCCGCAGAAGCCCGATTCGCGTGAAATGAAGCGTTTGCGCATGCTCAGCACCGATAGCAGCACCACCGTAGGGGCGTGGCGTCAAAGCCGTGAGTGGGTGTCTAGAGATCGGGTCAACGCTCCAATACAAATTCCAAGCGTAAGCCCCCCCCCCCCCCCCCCCCCCCTTAGTGACACTGGGGAGTCTCTAAAGCAAGTTTATTCTTGAACATACGACACAAATCAGAAGCCCAAGGTTCCAACTTCAGGCTCCCTGATTAGGCTTGCTCGTGATTCGTAGGCATATAGCGGTGCGACATACGAATTGAAACTGAATATTTTTTTATCTGAATTATGCTTAAAACAAAGCTAGACCCCTAACAAGGCTCGCTTATGAGTAAAGATATTACTATTTGTTTGGACATTTTGTAGATAACCGATTTTGTGCTTCGCGATTTACCTGAAGCCAGAAATCACATTACTTTAAAATGCACTGCATTTTTGTGTGCGTTTTATGTGTTTTGTGAGCTCTCAGAGGATTCCCACGTCTTCATACTATGACGCCGCTTTACCGCGGCTGTTTCTCTTATTGCTTTGTAACATTGTTATAGGTCCTGCCCGTACTTGGGGCTCTAGCTTAAGAAAAGATTGGGTCCGTTTTCAATATAGAAAAACCGTAGGCAAGCGGTCATACTACGCTTGGTATATTTCTCATCTGTAGCGTAAACCAGTGTCCATATACCCCAAAGGCTTTTTGGAGTTAAAGCACAGCGCCACGGTTGGATGAACGGAGTGCTACCGTGCTCGCGGAACAAGCACCGTCACACATCGTTGTAGAGCGAGTGTGTAACAATCGTCAATGATTTTGAGTCCTGCATAAAAATAAAACATATAAAAAAACAACCCACAAGAACACAATGGTACGTCAATCGCGCACCAATGCGAAAGAGCAACCGCATTCGCGGTGAGGATTTTTCTTTTTCTTTCGCATTTACATGTACCTCTTGCTCTTGCGCGCTGCTGGCAGGCGCTGGTGCTGCCACCACCGATACAGCCCAATGTGCTGAAGAAGCCGTCAGGAAGATCCCAGGATCGGGATATTAATTCGCCAGTCTTAAAACAAATGCTCGCCTTCTTGCCAAATTTCGTCCCAAGTGTCATTGCCACCCACGAGTCACCAGCGAGTCACTCGACGGGATAAGATGGAGCCCACAGAAGCCAAATTCTGAATGCCCGCCTCGAGCACATCCAGCTGACCCATGGCCCAAGCAGGCGACTACTACGCTATCCTTGGAGTGCCTCGCGACGCGACTACCCCTGACATCAACAAGGCCTTTCGGACACTAGCCTTGCAGTGGCATCCAGACAAAAACAAGGACAACAAAGACAGCGCCGAACGAATGTTCAAGCTCGTCGTCGAAGCGCATAATGTTCTCGGCAATCCAGGAAGACGACAACGCTACGACGTGGACTTGAACAAGGGTTCGCTTCCCCGATCAGCCTCTGGAGTCATCCGCGCGTATTACTACACTGTGCCGACATACCAGAAGCAGGCAGGAGCACATGAGTCTTTCTCATATGTTCGGGATCCGATGAGGCAATATCCACGTTACTCGGTACCGAGGCCAAATCAACCATCTAGGCATCCGGGGGCGTACGGTTTCACAGTGCACCCTCCTGCACATCCTCAGTACGCCTACAACGTGTCCGTTGGACCGTACTACACTGGAGAATCTATGTCGAGGTCCGCAGCATACTTGCCGGGTTCCTATTATCCTGTTTCTGCCGCGCCGAGTGCTACAATGAATCCACAAGCGTCTGAGGCGACCCTGCCGTCTACGGACTACGAGCGACAGACATCCACTAGGATCGTCCAAGGAAAGCGGATGGACCTGGAGTTGATCAAGGAGAGGGACGCCGAGATGGTGAATGTTTACGAAAATGGGGTGCTCACCCAAAGTATGTTTCGACGTACTAGCACTATTTGACTACGCTCCCTCGGCCTAATACGATTTGTGGTTAGAGCACTAAAAAAAAACGTATATTGTAAAAAAATTAGGCTCACGCACTTTGTAAATAAAGACTGGCGAGCGTTCTGGTGTCTCATGAAAGCCACCATGATTCATTAGAAGGAGCTATCGTGCTTGCGTAATTAATGTAAGATGTTAAGGAGACGACACCCTATAAAAAAGCAAATAATTTAATTTCAATTTTATACAGATGAGCAAGCGCACCAGCCAATTAATCAACCGTCGTCGGCCGTTATCGAACCCCATTTTATAAACGATTTGTCCTACGAAGAGCGTCGGAATTTGGGTGAATGCTTGCTTGGCATTAAGACTCGGATATCAGAGTTCAATTCTCACTTTTTCAATACAGATAAACTTCGTGCGGACGTGCACTTTATTAATGGTTTTATCATGATCAAATGTAAATACCCCTACGAAAATCATAAAACTGGAGCGCAGTGCTACTCCTGCCTCGGTGCTTAGAGAGCAATAGCACTGCGCTCCAGTTTTATGGCATACTGCCTTCCCGGTGCCTAAAAAAGCATAAAGGAGTCTTACTGCTGTTATTTAAACTGTCCTATTTAGACATGTTGACGACACGAGGACGCAATAACACGGCACCAGAGATATTCAAATCGCGAATAGTAATCATATTAAGATCGCAACAATCGTTTTGCTGCAAGCTGCAGTTGTCCCTGAGTTGTTGGCCTCTTGTGGTCCTTGAGTTGTTAGCTGGATCGGCTAGACAGACATCTAGCCAATCTAGCCAACCCCTTCGTCTTTTGAAGTTAGGTTAATAAAGATAAAGAAGATGAAGCGCGCGAGCAGAAAAACGTCAGTGAGCAGAGGCCCCAAAGACAACTGCTACAAAATTCGAAGGCTGAAAGAATTTCGATCTTTGGGGGCGGCATGGACAGAATACACATCGCGACATGAGCGACGACTACTACCGGGTTCTCGAAGTGCCCAGGGATGCGACGACCGAAGACATCCGTAAGGCCTACCGGCGACTGGCACTCAAATGGCACCCAGACAAGAACCCAGACAACAAGGAAGTCGCCGAAGCCCGCTTCAAAGAAATTTCGGAGGCATACGAGGTACTCTCCGACGAAACAAAGCGCCGCCAGTACGACGTGTACGGCAGTGGCAGCTTCGAGAAAGAGTTCCAGTCTGATGGGGGCACTGGAGTTCCACGTTTTCATGAGGGCTCGTATTGCTTTACATTCCGCGATCCCGAGGAGCTCTTCCGCGAATTCTTCGGATCGTCAGACCCTTTCCAAGAACTCCTTCGAAACGTACATCAAGGCGGACCAGGCACGCAACCGCGTGGCTCCGCGGTTATGGCTGGAGGCTTTCCCGTCTACCAGCCTAACGTCGGTAACATTCTTCGGTCGGGCTTCCTCTTTGATTTGGACGACATGCTCTTTGGACCAAGCGTTCCTGGAGGAATGGGTAGATCTCCGGGCTTTCAGGGCGTCCCCACGCAGCAGATGACGACCATTCGGTACGTGAACGGCAAGCGCATAGAAACCCGCACCATCATACAGGACGGCGTGAGGACTGTTCTCTCCTACGAGGACGGCACCCTAGTGTCCCGTGTAGTTAACGGTGTTCCTCAAGATGTATCCCCTGAAGGTGGCGAAAGCGGCCGGGATTCAGCGCGCAGTGGACAGGACTCTCGGTCGAGGCGGCTCAGTGAACAGGCCTTCAGTCCCACGGGTCAAGAGATGTCGTCGTCGTCGCAGCAGCCTGACAACGCAATGCCTTCTAAGTCTCCAGGAAGTGGTTCCCCGAAGCCAAGCGGTGAAAAGCACTACAATGTGAACACAAGCGACGGAATGCCAAATTTGATGACTAGAACGGGGTCCCGTACACCTAAGTCGAGAAAAACCATGAGACCGAGTAAAAGTAGCAGAGGAACTAAAGGCAGCAAAACCAGCAAGAACGATCCGGCAAGCGGCCAAAGTAGCCCCACTACGTCCCCCAAAACATCTCCGAAGAACTCCAAACCCAGCAAAGGCCCGTGTGATGGGAACTGACTGAAGCTTCCGTAGTGATTAGTATGTTCCCGTTATGAATGACTTACAGTCGGTCTTGACAACTGGTTGTTGCTTAAATTCAATTTTTTTTCGTTTGCTATTATGTGCGTCGGCCACAGAATGTTCAGAACGTCTTCGTACGCCGTCAGCAAGCCAGAATGGGAGCTCTGACAGTTGCTGCATTATATAGACTGTCGCTGCTCGCCAAGACCACGGTTTTTGTAGATGACATAATGGCGTGAGAGTTAGGACAACAAGCACGCTAAAAGAATACACCTCTCTCATGTAACCTTTTCCCCCTTCAAAATTATAACGAAACGGAAAATACATACTTGCACAGAAGGACCTCTGATCGCTACACCTGCATGTGTTGTTGCGATTGGTACCAAGGCAGAACCATCGGGATTGTGTTCTGTTATAAGCAAAGTCAAATAAATAATAATGGACGTGTTTAAGAAAAGGGGTGTAAACAGTGATCCATAGAAGTGCTTTTTTTCATGTGTTTAGAATAATATGTGGGCACTCGAAGTGAGTGGAGAATCGGTGTTTGAAAAACAACCAGATGTATAAAATCCACACGAAATTGCCTATGATGTTAGGGGAACTATTATAGTAGCTTTAGCTTGGTCACCCTTGGTGTAGCTATTTCGCCCTTGGATTATGTGTCTTTATATTAATATTTACTCGACATATCTACGCTTAAGAGATGCCTTTGTCTTTCTCTATAGACCCAGGGAAGTGAACGGGCGGCGCCTCAGTCGGCTGCTAGTCAGCGCAGCTGGAGGCTAAAAAGGGCAATTTTGGAAAGGCCACATATCTGGACGACTGGACACAGACGCTGCGTCAGAGTTCGGCAGGACACTCGGATGTTCGAGCTCGCGAACGGGTCCAATGATTGGGGCCACCGGCCATTTCGAAGTTACCGAAATGCTACGTACCGAACCAAGTTTAAACGCCCGGTCAGCAGGATATACACCATTTTAATATTTACAAGTCCTCAGCCCAGCACGCGCCTGTTCGCCGCGTCGTACAACGAGCAAATCACGCGCCATACGCACGAACACTGAAAAATGGAACCGGCCAGCAGACCTTTTTTGGAAAGGTCTATATGCTCAGTTGGTTACATTCTCATTCAAAGGTGCGCCTCGTACGTAGCCTAAACACAATAACTATCTTCACTTATAATTCTCAAATGGGTTTAAATATGTGCGTCTTCATAAAATATTTTAGCTAAGCCGGTTTGCAAAACATTTTATTGCAACAAGCAAAAAACTTCCGTAGCCATCCAAAAATGTGTGATGGGTAAAGACGACGATATGACCTAAGTTTCAGCCGGCAACCACAAAATCCCTCGGGTGAGTTATAAAACTATCAAATTAATTTCTGCTGTCGACGAAGCTGCCACCGCAGTAGCCATGCTAGACTTTTATAAAATACTAGGTGTTTCACAAACGGCCAGCGTAGAAGAGATAAAGAAAGCGTACCGGAAGCTCTGCCTCCGCTGGCACCCGGACAAGAACCTCGACAGCAAAGAGCTGGCAGAATATCGCTTCCGCAACATCTCTCAGGCCTACCGAATTCTCTCGGACGAAAAGAAACGCAAGGATTACGATTACCAGTGTGCCCTGATTCGAAGCAGGATGCGCAACGCCCCCAGAAGACCCCCATCTTCAAGCCCCTTCGTAACTCTCGAGGAAATAATCAAGGGAATACACCGCAAGCCGTGGGACTCTGCGGCCTATGGCTTCAAGCCCCCGTTTACTTCGAGAAAGACAGCGCAGTCAAGGCGGGGATTTGGATTCAGCGCAACCTTTGGAATGGAAAATCCGTTTGGGGAAAAAAGGACCGTCCATCGCTGCACCATTGGTAAAACTCGCAAAGTAGATGAGGGAGCCCTACCGACAAGGCAAGAACACCCGCCGTCGGTGTCTGAGACTCCGCGGGCGAGAGCCAAGGTCATCGAACTGCGGTCTACCATTTGTGATGGCGTACGGAAGATTTGTAGGTACGAAAACGGCGTGAAGGTGTCTACGGACGCGTACGAGATACCTGAGTCAAAGAAGGCTACAATTTCTTTCCGGGTTGCTCTGTGAGAACCCTATTTTTGCCAAGAATTAAGCTTTGAAAAGTGTGTTCTGGAGGGGTTTAATCTAGAAAGATCAGAAAATGAGAGGTTGCCAAGTGTGACAGACTGACTCAGAGGCTTATTTGTATACTTTATAAGACGCTTTGTACCAGCTTGCCAAGTAATGAAAAGAAGCGGACGACAAGAAAGCGTTTTTCCCACAATCAAAGCGAATCCTCACTTAGTCAGTGAAAGGGTAAGTTACCCGGTGGCGTAATATGTGGTGAATACGAGTTATTTCAACTGTACCATTGTTTGCGTGTAACGTGAATTGAATTATTTAGGTAAGATTTCGGAATAGCAAGGTGCCTTCATTGTGTGTGTGTGTGTGTGTGTGTGTGTGTGTGAGTGCATGTGTGTCTGTGTGTGCGCGCGTGCGTGCGTGTGTGTGTGTGCGCACGCGCCTGTGTGCGTGTGTATTTGTGTATTTGTGTTTAATTTTCTTGAACCTTTAGACCTTGACTTTTTGTTTTGTACATGCCAGCATTGCCAACGTGACCTTTTCCGCGTAAGACGTCCAAATTGGTCACTCCATTTAGTGCCAGTTTTACGGCTTTTCTTCTAAAGAACATTCTCATTCAAGTCGTGTTAGGGATTAGTGCGGGACCTTAAAAGACCCATTATGCGTCAGAATGTTTTTTTTGTTTTTTTTTTAGTTCACGGTCGGGAACAAACTCGGCGCCATTCAATATAGAAACCCCTTTCGCATGAAAAAACTAAAAAAAAAATGAAAAAATAAGCAGTTTAGCAAGCAGTTCAGGATCTTGGCGGAGCAATTTTCTCACGTACGCTTCACATGTGTGGCCTTGAGTGGACGTTTAAAGTTAAAAACACCCATATCTAGAAACCGGCAATTGACCGCTTCCTGCTCTAAAAAATCGCTCCACTGAAACGTCAAGAAAAAAAAAAAAAAGATTCGAAGAGAAAGTTTAATTTAAAAAGGAGTTTCACGGACCATCCATATCCTACTAAAGACAAGGTGTTCGCTGTACACATGCTGACAGAGCTGTCTGCGGACAGGCGTCAAGCAAGTTCGAAATCATCCATGGTTGGTACATATATCGTATGCATTGAACATGTCTACAGGCCGTTTTTGTATGGCCGAGGGGGCAGGGCCGTCGTAAGGGAAAAAAGAAACACGTTTCAGAAAGTGTCTGCGGACGGTCCTCTTGTACGATGTGTTAGCCTGTGTGACCGTGACTTTGTAGATTCCCCAGTTGCTCGGTTTAAACCCTGTCCGAGGTGCGCGCAACGTGACGCAATCTTCTTGCGGTGCGGGTGTTGTCTATCTATGTTGTTGTTTTAGACCACCTGGTCACCAGAGATGCCCAGGTGGTCTAAATTAGGTTTTTATCCGTGGTTGAGGCCGTACTTGTTCGATGATCCGATGATAGAAAGAAAAAAAAAAAAAACTTCACAGTTTGTTTTGGCAACTACGAGCAGCACTTTTGATAGGATACTTAAGAACCGGCGCAGCTGGTAACTAATAAAAGTCTTTTTTTTTTTTTGTAGGAAACGTTAATTTGAAACAAACGTGACAGTGTCGATGAGTAAATGAAATATATTTAACAGGCAGTCGTCTCACCCAATATTTTATTGCCTTCGGGTATATAATAAGTATGTTCACACGCGTTTACACAGTTAATAGCGGTGAAATAATGTTTGTGGTGAAGATAGCGAGATTATCGGCCCCGAAATTTTAAGCCCCAAATCTGCGCATTACGCCTGAAACTTAAAAGGAAAACAAACTAAAGTTGACCTGCTGATATCCTGAATGTCATTTACATGAACACAGTGCTTTTTACAGGATTCCGGTCGGCTTCAGAAAACTTAACAGAGCTGTTTCGTCATATTAGTTGCAGCGTGTTTATCAAGATATGCATATTCAAACACACGGATTCATGAACCCAGGTCAAATTATAACGGGTGGATCCAGAGCTCAGTTTTTTTTGTTTTTTTTTTTGGGGGGGGGGCGGAAAAATTTGTCAGGATACTATTCTCCCATTCGACTAAGCGGTTAATCAAGTTCAGAGTACAAGTGTGCCTGCTAGGGTGCGACCTACCCTATTTTGAACCCTCGTCCTTGAGTACCGAGCGTTCTATCACCTGGCAGGCCGGTAATCGGTTTTACATGGGGGGGGGGGGGGGGGGGGGGGGGTCGGGGGTCAACCCATCTAAAATTGTCCTCCGAGAAGGGAGGAGGGGGAGGCGGCTGGCCCCCGTTGCCCCCCCCCCCCCCCCCCCTCCCCACCTTGGATCCGCCCCTGAATTATAGTGAATCATTGGTCCTGCCTTTTAATTGCGAGGTATTATCGCTGTTTTCGTGCTGACAAGTGCATTGCTGTCCATGCTCACTAGGAATTCTTTATCACTCTCGTCTACTGAATTACGGAGACAATTTTAGAACACATTATAAACTGTTTTATGCACTGTAGCACAAAATAAACAGCAGTGCTTTAAAAATCCAGCTGTCATTTGGCGTAATTTATGGAACTTCTTCGAGTCCGAAAACGTTCCGTAAATTACGACTGCACAGTGCACCTTGGCTGTACTGAACAAGCAGTCTTATTTAATGGTCAACATTTATTATCCTAGTTAGAAAATGGCATCATTATGCCACGTTTCCTGCACTCCAGTACATTTTTCTTTTTATTCCTAACATTCGGTGATCGGAACTACGTTTTAGACATATGGGAATGCCAAATATTTGCCTAAAACACGCTTAGGCTTTCTCTACTTGCTCTAAATCTCGGCTCTGTTTACCAATGCACATAAACAATCTGTCCAAATTGCCTGCCGCTCACGCATAAGGTTCCGGAACAAGTCAGAGCTTGGTGAAGCACCAAATCACCTCCCCCCTCCCTTTCTTTCTAATGCCTTATAGCTTCTAGTCGGGTCTCTTATCATCCCAGGCGCTCACAAGCTCTCCATAATCCCGCTCCGAGGAAAATCCCCGAGAGGGGCAAACAAGGCACCAAACATTTTACCCGTTTCACCCACCCTCAGGCTCGAGTCCGCAGCAGCGACACAACCATGTTCAAGCTGCCCCGTGACGAATGACGTTTCGAGACAATACTGACAGCGTCGGAGTATGGAGCCCGAGGCGTAAGCGTGTCCCTTCTTCCCCTTTAGCGGTCCTCCCGAAACGGTTTGTGCTCCCTTCCCGTTCCAAACAAGCTCCCTCTATTTCAGGAAAGCCCTCGTTCTCCGAACTTCGCGGCGCGGACTCCGCGTTCGCCACTCCGGCCCCAGCGGAGCTCCCTTATTAAGATACGTACAAAGGGCCAATTTTACGAGGGCCTCTCCTCATTTGAATAATACGTGCAAGTGGAGACGGAGCCACGCACTCCCCTCGTTCCCTCCTTGCTCAATGGCAGCGGTTCCCCTTCCTGAAAGGGGAGCAACGGGTGCTGGTTGCGCTCGCTCGCTCACTCGCCAACCGCCCCTGGGCGCCGAGATTCAAGCTATAGCTCGCGGGCATCGTCTTGCAACTGGAAAAGAACTCGTCTCGATTACACAGGGATAAGATTTATCGTTGAACAAAGGAGGTATGCGGAGAAGAAACGGAGATTTGCATGCTTCCGCTCTCCTTTCTTTCGTTTCCTTTATGACGGGGTGTGCGGCGAAATGGTCGTTGTGGTGAAAAGGGGAATTTAGAATTTCGGAAGCGAGATGGGGATCGCCTTGCTCGCTCGTTCTATGGAGCTCGGTTTCTCGCGCGACACGGAACCCGGGTGAAGTGAGAGCGGTTAGCTCTTGAAAGGCGTGAAGCGTGGACTTGGCTAATGGACACCCAGACACGAAAAAATGGGATGCTTTATCGGAATTGCGTTCGAGGGTCTCTCACGCGACGTGGCCGAAGCTCGCCGCTAGTGGTACGCGTGCACCTACGGAGTCTCCGGAGAGAAGTGCTTGTATAAGTCTGACAACACTTCACGACCGCTTTCTGCCTACACACCAACACGCGTTTCTCGCATCGAGCCGCTGCGGTAGTGCTGTTGTCGGCGCGGCGCAGGCGGTGCCGGTTCACTTCACGCGCACCTGGTCTCTGCGCACGCGCAGTGCCAACACCTGGTGGGGGCGAACGCGGACTTGTTTTTACATAGCGTGCTGGACTGTATGGACCATTCTGATGAACACCTTCTGCGCGCCGCCATCTTTGTCCGCTCGGCCGCGGAATGCGTTCTGAGCATGCGCAATAGCCCTCTTTTGCGAATCATGAAACGCCGCGCGTGCGTTCCACAGCCCAGCGACTCAGCATTTTTTCGCCTGGGTAATAAGCGCTCGAATGATGTGTAGTTACAGAGACCTTCAAGAACGCAGGGCGCGGGGTCTATTAGGAGCATGCACTTCGCTTCGGGATTTGTTCCTTGGTGTTCTGATTGGCTGATGCCTCAACCTCATTGGCTGCTGAGCGATAATCGTATGTCTGGGCTCTCGCCAAGCCTTGAATTTCTTAAGCTGTCAGTGACTTCAATATTCGGTAAACGTATCGATTATTTCCGAAAAATGCTCCGGAGTATACCAAGACTAAAACCTAACCAAGACAACTTCACATTGCGGTGTGTGCAACGCAAGGAACGTTGCATTGAGAGCATAAGAGCGATGATATGCTCAAAGCGACGCCTGCTCTTTTCCGGAGTTCCATCAAAACGTTTTAACATAATTCATAGGACCGTTATTATGTTAATTATTTTTCCTTGTTGCGTGGGCAAGAAGAGCGTTTTGCCTGGGCTAGAACACGCTAAGGCAATGTGCTCGTAGGTTACCCTAACGGAAGGAAACGAAAGAAAACGCAATGAAACCAACTATCAGCATTACAGGTACGTGTAGTACAACCTCTATTTTGAAACGTTCCTGATACCATTTTCGGAAGTGCTCGCGCCGTCTGTAGGAACTGCTGCGCTAATTTTCCGAGTCTATCTGTCATTGCTTGCGCACGCACCCTGAGAATGTAATGAACGCAAGGGCACGTCAGTGTTCGGCGTAAACTCGGCTCAGCGTGGTATCGTAAACGAGTGCTGCGTCATCATTCAGCGAAGACTCGGAATCCAATTACACGCGTCGACGAGACGAGCCAATCCAGGTAACAATTGGCATTGCGAAAGGCGGTAGAATTGTGGGATTTTGGATACCATGCGTAGAGGAATAACGGCGATTTTGTATTTACTCTATCAGGACTAAGCACAAGTAACAGGCGCTTCTGCTAAGAGCTCAGAGGGCTACTGCGACGATCGCTCGAGCGAAGCTGTATTGGCATTAACGTTGCATATACAGTTACTCACCGACTTGGATGTTTTCCGAAACTCTTTCGAAGCGCCGGTTTTCTCCGAGGGGGTAGAACTGGCATGCTGAAAGAGCAAAGAAAAAGAGGCCACACGTTAGGCAAAATAAAACATAAAGTATGACACAAGAAACCGTAAACATACCCTTAACGAAAAAAAAAAAAATAGGAGTAGGGAACGGGGGGGGGGGGGGGGGGGGGGTAGTTGCAGAAGAGTTGGAGGATATTTCTCCCGATGCAATAAAGCAGCAAATACCTTTTCACGCAGGATGCGCTTTTCACTTCAAGAGGTAAGCCGCAGAGGGATTTCTGCATTTTATTTTTTGTTCGAACTATGGCGTTCGAATACGCCTCTACTATGCTCGAACCCTACGATGTCCCAGGCAATGGCTGTACTCAAAACGATGCTCTCTCGTGTACCATGTTACGGGTGCAACCGTGCCTCATCGTTCGCAAAGCCAGAGCCTGTCACCCCTATCAATACTTTAACGCTTAAGCCGACTTTTGCTTGCGCCAAATACCATTGGATTCTGCAGCCGCTTCTCACATTGCAAAAGCGTCAACACTTTCTAGATGGGGGAGCTGTTGCACTTTCCAGCAAAAAGGATGTGTCGGATAAGCGAACGCAAACTTCAGTGGCCACAGCATCTTGCGGAAATTTCGTAATACCGTGCAAGCGCCGGAGGCCGAATTTCGGTAGATGCCCCTCGTATTGTGCAATCAACGTGGAGGTTGAATTTTTTGTTTGTCACTAGAAATAAAGCTATACAGCGTGCAGAGTTTACGGCATCATGACTGCCGGTCATTCGCATGTGTCAGACTTCCAACCGTCCTAGTACAAAGATTATTTAATTCACAACGAATAAAATTTATCCGTCAAAGCGTACCATGACTCGCACAATGCGCTTTCCTGAAAAAAGGTAGAAGATGTTCTTATGTTTAAAATAAAATTAAAAACGGCACCCGCGTTACGTAATTATGCACCGTATTGATCCCTGCTGCGGCTATCCCGAGTAAGCTGGGCATTTATATGAATATCATAATTGTGATTCACATTAGAAATGTGTCTATTACGCCAACAGATGATTGTAAAAGCAAAAACTAACAAGAAATTGCATAGCCTCTTTTTATGACGCACATTTTCACATTTGTGAATACATACAAACACATATTAATTATCGTACTGCGTTGTTGAATATATCTCGGTTTAATGAGCCCTTATTTGTTCATAGAAACCGTCTGACAAAGGCACATCGGAGTACGCCATTTATGCACAGTACACCTCCTCTATTCGCAACAACTCTTTGGTTGTAGAGATTTGTGCGATGTAACACGGTTCCTTGGTGCAAACTCAGATAAATCAACAAAAATGCGAAGCAAAAAGTGTGGGTGCTACTAACGAAAATTTTCAGGCTTCTGATAACGACTCGGCGCGCCCAAAGAACTCGACGGAAGTCATCATCTACGCATTAACGCAAAAACCGGCGCTGTTTGAGTAATCTAGACTTCCTCCGAAGAACCAGCGCATTCATAAGAAACTCGCTCGTGCACACACAAAAAAACGACATTTCCTTGTTTCAAAAAAAAAGGAGAAAAAAAGAAAGAAACAGTTTTTGCATTGTAATAATGGCTTTCAAGAAATGACAATGAAATAGTGCGCTTCGTTGTAATGTCAGGATTTGTTAAAGATATGGGGAGCATCTCGGCGTTGTGGTGTGGCCTCCATGAGACCCTTCAAAGCCCAGGCTAAGCCCAGTATGAATAATTAAAGCTAACTCTGTAATCACAGAAACGGAAATGCTATTTGGAATTGCGTATTTGTTATATTGTGTGGTATATGCCATATTACAGAAGGTGCCAAGAAGACACCATAACCGTCTGAATGAAGAGTTTTATACTTCGGCGCTGAAACATAACCCACACCCAGTGCAAATATACGGAACCTGTAATGCGCTAGACCTGGCTGACGAACAGAGCATTCGCCCCGGTCAGGGGTTCGGGCCCCTCCTCGCATTATTTTGATTTGTAAAGCAAAGAGAAAGCAACTTGGATCGTGTGGATACGCATCCAGCAAAATGTCGTGTGACCTCGAGATATGGCGAAACATGTTCAACGCTGCAGATGAGCAATCAAGTCCTTGTAGTACTTTATGTGCTGCTAACCTGAGGTATTTATAGTGCTTCGCGGATTCCACAACCGCACGCCGGTAGGATGCTCAACCTTTAGGTACGAGATATGTGAAAGAGAGTTTGAATTGCAAGTCACGGCACAACCTTCGAGAATCACAGCCCTCCAAGTGTAAGCTACCTTTTTCAGCAGATCAGCTTTAAAGGAGCTGTGCAACGATATTCAATTGAAATGTTTTTCACTTGACACGAGCTTACTGGCACACCTGGGACTCAAGGATACTCGCACGCAACGCCACTGGCCAAGAAACTCCTTTGTTGCGGTGTAATTTCAAGGACAAAAGCGATCATTTTCATTCAATCTCTCCTTCGCAAAATTTGGTGACGTACCGTGGGGATCGCAGTACACCCAAGTGACGATGTTTGAATGCGGTTCATAGATTGGTCCCGAGCATTGCGTGGGCACTCGACTTGGGCTCGTGATAATCGCTACCTCGGGTAGTGACCCGTGTCCAATCGCTGCAACGACGACAACAGCCGAGCCATAACAATGTCTGGAACTCAGCGCGTGTCCTGCGCTTTGCCAACCCCAGCGCGTGGCCATGATCAACACTGGCGGCATATAATCGGCTTCAGATCACGTGGCCGCTTGTACTAGCTGCGAGTTGAGGGGGTGAACGCTGCTCGTTTGTCTTTAATTTTTTTCTGGGACTTCTATTGCGTGGGGTGAAAAACGAACGCGTGTTTCATAAGTCATTAACGTTAGGGATCCGTTTTAAGCGGTATTTGTGCAAAGTACAAAAATTGTTGCATCGCTCCTTTAAATTCAATGGTATATAGCGGCCAGAAGCACATTTTTGGGAAGCTGTATAGCGTAATATTTGTTGTCTGGGTGAAAAATCGAACATAGTTGTCTACCCCTAGACAGCAGAAGGTGCTCATATTTTTTAATCGGACGTACATGTCACTATCAGGTAGCGTGGTTTTGTCAGCGCTTATGATTAGGTGATAAAGTGTCACCAGCACGCGCCAAGGCCAATAAGGCTGTTCAGGTGGCCACAGTCCTCACAGCTGAAAGATATACTGAACCGAAATGTGAAGTTACAAAAATTATGCCCGAGCGAGCTTTCCGGATTGGTACAGTACCCAAACATGTAATTCGCACAAATGGATGATGATCGAATTATTGTATTTTTTCGAACGAAGTTCTTTGATCGCTCTGATCGGGCGAACCGCTAGTCGGAAGCGGACGGTGTGAGCAAGCCCTTCTGGGATTACACTCTAAAAAAAGCCCGTGAGTCTCTTTTCCCGCGCAACACTCGAAGAGCCAATCAGCGCTACTTACGGAGTCAGCTCAACGAATGACCATGGCGAAATATATGTTTAGACTAAAAAATGCAGTTTGAGTTGTGACATTAAGCAATGCAAAACGTCACGCTTGCATTGCTTAATGTCACAACTCAGACTGCGGTTTTTAGTCAAAATATATGTTTCGGCATCGTCATTCGCTGAGCAGCCTCCGTAAGTTGCGCTGATTGGCTCTCCGAGTGTTGTGCGGGAAAGCAGACGAACGGGCTTTTTTTAGAGTGTATAGCCGTGGCAAGCTGACGGATGCTTACAATGTTCCCACGCTGAACTGTGATTTTCTAAACATTGAGGCGGTGCGGCTCCAACGTTTACAAAGTCACAGTCCAGCGTGAGAAGACCATGGTCCATCAAGCTTGTGGTCATCGCCTCAGAAAGCAAGCGAAACACGCGCCATACGCACGAGCTTAGAAAACGGAACACCGAACCGACCAGAAGCCCGTTTTTGGAATGGTCTGTCGCCTCACTATGACCCCTTGACTTGAAATACGTCCGCTCCTATCGTAGGAAATAAGAAAGCAATCAGACTTTCAACACTGACGGTGTTGATTTAAGAACGTGATGATTAGGCTTCCCGCGCTTTTTACGCACCGTTGAAGTTGTCGCTCGCTACTAATAATCGTGGTAGTAACGTCAGGGACAGGAACCATAACAGGGCGCCGGAACGCCGTATCGTTAAACGCTGTTCGCAGAAACGTTACTAGATCAATGTCAGTTGACAAGCTTAAATAATTTGGGTTGTGTGAATATTTTTACAGCGTGTAGTTGGTCAGCCATTTCAAAGCTGGGACGAGTCACTCGCTGTAGATGATAAATTTAGCCAGTGCACTACAACCACTAGCCTGGGGTCTTTAGCGTCCACCACACAGTAGTGATACACGACCGTACACCGGTACGACCCTCATCCAGATCGAAACGGGCAGGGGTAGGGATTGAACGCAGGATCCCTGGGTTCTGCAGCGCGATCTTTCGCACCACGTGTTGACAAGCTTCCTTATCAACAGACAAGCTTCCTTGTCTGTTTGTCTTCAACGCCCCTCTTTCCCAATCGTAAATTAGTAACCAACACGCTCAACCTTCTACAAATGGATTATTTCGTGGTTTTTAAGGTAAACATGAAGTTTGCGTAAACGTCGGCGCAGATAGGGCCTCTTTTGAGATCGGTCACTTCATTGCCCATGGAGGCGTTGACGCTAGGAACGCTATTCGCCCGTATAACTGCTCGCGTATAGGCAACCGAGAAGAAACGTTTTCGAACACCGATCTTCCATGGACCTCGTCAACTGATAGATATACCTACACGTTGGTTCGCAGCGCATGCTCAGAACACGCTTCCATTTATCGTATTTCAAGAACAAAGATTCTCATTGCGTTGAGTGAACTTCGGGCGTGCATCGGCGTGCATTCATTGCAGGCAGCGAAGTCAAAGCTATGGGTACCCGTGCGCTCACGGACGTGAGCAGCGATAAAAGCTGTGCACGTGTGGTGTTCGCTTCTTCCTAAATGCCAGAAAAAAGCTGTCCTCTAACATCGTTCTGAGCATGCGCTGCGACGACAA